TTGCGTGCGTGCGTTGCGTTGCGTGCGTGCGTTGCGTGCGTGCGTGCGTGCGTGCGTGCGTGCGTGCGTGCGTGCGTGCGTGCGTGCGTGCGTGCGTGCGTGCGTGCGTGCGTGTGTATATGTGTTTGGATAAGGTCTCTAAATATCCTTTTTTTTTTTCTTGTAACGATTCTATATAAGCATATAAATTCGGTTTATAAATAGGGGTTTAAATTTGTGGTATCATGAATTCTTTTAGATTTAGTTAGTTCTTGAGTGTGTAAATTCTTTCATCTTTGGATCATTGAATCGCTTGATTATCTCCGATTTATTCTGGATAGACTCTGCTTCTGATCATCCAAGTCGATAGCCAATTCTAAAATTTAATAGATTTTACGTTCCAGTTATTAGATATTCAAACTTTATGTTTTTGGAGAGCATCCAATATTCGAATACAAGATTCTTGGATATTGTAGTTGGGCATCTTTTATCTTCAGCTCTTTATTAACGTCTCGCAAAGTTTGCTGTGAATTTTCTCGAGAAACTTGAGAATCCGTCCTGAAGATGAAAGATGATCGAAGATTCACCTAAAGATGCTTAAGGACTTGAGGATCCCCGGATTGCTTGAAGAGCACTTGAAATTTTCTGAGAGTATCTAATCCAAGGATCCATGACGATTTAAACGTCCGAGCGTTTCGCAATGATCGAGGGGCCTAAGAACTATCCCTTTCGATACGAGTACGACACGCCGCATACCTACGATTGAAATCAGCATTAAACAGCACATTGCCAAGCGCACTGGAACGCTATATGTGTGTGCGGGAATGTATGCGATATTATTGTGGTGTGAGATAATTTTCTTCTTGCCTGTATTGTTGCGGCAAATAAACGATAAAACATTGAATAGGGATATACAATATACAATATTATTTTTCAGGGTTTTCTAATATATTACGATTATTATTTGATTATTATATTATTGCTATTGTCATTATTATTATAAATTTTTAATATTATTAAGATTTATTATTATTAATTATTATTGTTCAGTTTCAAGTTACTCTTAAAGGCATTTTAATGATGAAGTTTCTCTAGCTCATATAATTCTAACGTTATTAGTTAAGTTATGATTTTCGTTACGTGACTGCAAAATATAAATGGAAATATAAGGAATATAAGGAAAAAAAAAAACGAGAATGCACGGCCTCAGTATGGTATCTGATGAATCTTTGGTAATGACTATAGTTGCATTGTCATTGTCGATGAATTAGAAATTAATAAACAATGTGTATACTGATGTTTGTTAATCGTATCTTGCGATATTGCAAAAAAACATCCTTCTCTTTTGCATATCCCTCGATCGTTACGGGCGGTTCTCGCGAAATGAATTTTTACATCTCATTATATTATTAAAAAACATCAAAAGAATCTATTGTACGTTATGAAATACGATATCGTATTTAACGTTGTTTCATCGCCAGGCTTTCGAATGGCAAAAGATTTGAATTTATAATCACTTGAGCTTTTTGTCACATTGATTAAAGAATTCGCTTCTTTTTCTCTTGTTTTTTTGAATAGTAGTCAAGTTTCTAAGTTCTCGAAATTTTTTCGAGCATTCCTGAATCATTGAATCGAGAATCGCCTACACGAACTGATTTTCTCATTGTGCATGAACGAAGTTGTAATGCGCGGTGCGGGATTAACAGTTCTTAGCGTACGTTTAATATGTGACGATGGTGCACGTGTAGAGAGAACATTATATCGCAATGATTCTGATTTCTGATCTTGAACTACGTTTAAGGTCGTATTCGTAAATTAAAGATGTTTGTATAAATTTTGTATAATTGCGCACATTTTCGCGATGTGGGAACGTGCAACGGTCTCTCGTTGCGTGTCTAAGGATTCAAGGATATAAAACTTCTAAAACCTCACGAGCAAAGAATCCGAGATATCCGAGGACCTAAATACATATTCCTAAAATTCTATCGCGTATTCATATTTGAAGATAATGAGAGATATGAGGAATATTCTTGAGAGTCTAGATGATCCACGCGAGGATACTTTTTATGGGATCCCTAGAGTCTCGGGATAGCTAAGTAAATATGTGTTAGTCTTTTATTACTGACAATGCACCGCTGACAGATCTATAAAGACTGACGACTCGAACATGGTGAATGGTGTGGACGACGCTGTAGTTGCGAATACGCACCTGCCGGCAGTGGCTACGTCGACGATAACGACGGCTACGACGACGACAACGGCGACGACGGCGACGTCAGCCGCAGCGACCACGGACGATGCCGAGACGATGACCAGGTGTGACTGTAACAACGTCGTCGTCGTCCCTCCTCCTACTGCCTCCTCACAGAACTCCCAATCGCAAACTGGAGTGGTCTCTGCCTTCCCTATAGTAAGCATATTATTATTTCTCAAGAATTTAATTTATTAGTTGAAAATGTGCCTTGGATTTCAGAAGATGATCTCTCCGAGAGAACTTAAGCATAAAATAAAAAATGTGTTTGAAGATCTAAAGAAAAAGATGGAAAATTTTATGACGAGTTAAGACGAGTTATAAGATATAAAATTGAAAATATCAATATTAAGAATTCAGACGGACGTAGAAGATTTTTCATTGAAAATGCAAATATTTCAAAACTCAAATTCAATAATCTTATATCTAGAAATCATATATATGTATGTAATATTTGTTAAACTGTAAAGATGCTTTCTAAAAATGCAAGTAATAATCTTAAATGCGCACATTAATGTTTGTAAAATTTTATTAAAATATTTTGTGTCTTCCTATAACATTTTTTTTCTGAACTTTATATTTATGATGATTTTTATATTTAAAAAAATAATAAGTATTCTTAAATACAACGAATTAATAAGTATTTAATTTTATAGTATTTTAATAAGTATTTTGTTCTCCATAGGATCTTACGAGGCCAAGCTATGCCCAAGTAGCGCAACATTGCCGTGAGCTACCTTGTACAAAACACAAAACAGATGAGAGAGATAGAAATGTTTAAAAGCTGCACGTAAGTATCTTTTTTTTTAAAACGATCTCTATTCTCTTGTTAAAAAAGCTGTATACGTGAAGACAAACGCCAATAAACTTATGAACAATTTATTAATATATTTAATGTATTAAAAAATTGAAAATATTAATTGGAATTTAAAAAGTTCTGAAAGAATGTAAGGGACAATTGAAGACACTTGAAAAATCCAATATAGCAATTTGTATATAGCAATTTGTATATCCAACGAGATTCCTTTACGATGATATTTTTGTTATCCTCAGATCTATATTCTCAGATCCTTAAAGTATGGCCTGTGTATCCTCGGAATCCTTCTATACTCCAAGATATTTTCCAAGTCCACAAAATTCATGAATCGATCCTCGATGTAAGACAATCGACTGAAAACGTCGAAAGTACTATATCTCCACAAAAGAGAAACATCTGAAAGGGTATGTATATTGTGTTCTTTATTATGTCATGAAGGTGACGACGGAAGAAAGACAGACACTCGAGCGGCGGAAGCAGCTTAGATATAACGAAGCCAAAATCTACAAATTACCACGCGACGACGGGGTAACTAAACGATAATTAGCTGTGCTATATGTGCTATGACGTCATCGCCATCTTCTCGGGGTCGGATCGGATCGAGAATCAGGAGCTCGCCGCTGCTTTCACCTACCTATCTATCCCCCGGTACTCCCTTCTCAAACTGACGCCGTCACGTGCTACAGGCGTGAGGAAGAGAGAACTTTTTACATTGTACAGTGACGTCTCGCCTACGATCAACGATCGATCGATCGACGAATCGATCAAGAGAGAGAGAGAGAGAGAGAGAGAGAAAATGAGAAATAGTGTGTGTGAAAATGTATGTGAGAGAGGCTCGCCGCGCACTATTATAGCGGCGCATTCGCAGGCGCTACTATTATACAGGGTGATCGGAGAGTCTCGTGGGGCAAATTTGTCGCCGCGATTTGATGATGTCGATGATTCTGCCGATAATTTGCAAATCGGCATGGTTGTTTTATTCGCTTTATTGCAATTCGTAAAATGCAATTGATTCGATAGTTTATTCGTGATTGAGGGACGTGAAGGATTTAAGGTTTTGAAAAAAAAAATCTAAAAATTCGTTATAGTATTTAAGAATCTGATGATCTAAATATTCATGTTAAGTGAGCGAAAAGAGTAATCAGCTTCGCAGTAAAAGCCTGAAAGCTCGAGGCGAGTAACGCTCAATTATTGGGTCGCCAATGAGAATTATTAGGCGAAAAATGATTGATAAAAATGATTGATAAAAGCTTAAGAAATAATCTTTCGAACATTGGAAAGATGAATAAATTGAGACCTTGAGATTTCATACAAACAAATGTAATTAAAATCGAGGTTTGTGTCGAGCGAAATAATTTAATTGATCGAATTTCGATTTCTTAAATATGTACATTTTTGAAATCTTAGATTTTCAATTTCTTCAATTTTACCTTCTTCGAGGAGAAGGTTATTTTTCAAGCTTTTATTAAACGATATTTACTCTTATAAGTTTCGATATAGATATAACAGAGTTTTGCGTGTACCTAATAATGTTTGATAAGCTTTAGTTTTAAGACTTCGTTAGTATAATCGGTAAAGATTCTTAAATAATTGATATATATATAGATCTAAAGAATTTATGAATCTAAAAATCCAAAAATACGAGATGTAAATGATTGTCTAGGATATGCGGGTGTGTTTATGACATGACGGTATTTTTCTTTTAAAAGCGGTTTTTCTCGACAGCACCAAGGGCAGCATAGACTGCGCGGCTTCCCGATCACCCGGTACATCGCGCAAGAGAAGAGTATTGTTATCGTTTTTGGTTCTGTGATTGAGGTACATATTTGTTAGCTTGTAAAAACGCGTTAAAGCGATAAGATATATTAATCTTTTAAAGGGAAAACCCCTTCCCCCGCCCCTCCTTCGCGCGTGCAGGGCCGTAATATTATAACCGGGAAAAACACATGTCTATTAGATATATAATTATATATATTTGTGCCAAAAAAAAAACTGCTTGACGAAATCTCCCGAAAATGCAACGAAGTGGACGCCGAAATCAATTGAGATTCTCGCCAAGTGGAATGCGGTGTGAAATCCCCTTCTCCTCCACTTCCCGAAAAATTCCGCTCTCTTCCACGTTCCTCATCTTTTACACAAAAAAGAAAATTAAAAATAAGAGGAGAATGAAGAGATCGTATTTTGTAAATGGAGAAATCTATGATGTGTATGAGATTGTTTGAGGAATGATATTGCTGAGAACGAATGATAACGATGATGATGAGGAGGAGGTGAGGGAGGAGGACAGTCGAGAAACATATAACGAATTTCGTATTTATGCGAATGACACATGTAACTTATAATGGAAAAAAAATCGACGGTGATACCGGATCTATAAGACTAAAAACAAGGACGAAGAGTGAGTTGAGAATTGAGGAATGATCTTGGAAAAGATGTTACCAGTGCATTTCGTACAAGAAATAGTTTGCGTTTTACAAGGGAACCGTGATACGCTTAGCATTTTAATAACTATCATTAGTAACGACATACAATATATGTGTTGTATATTATAATACGCAAAATGCGAGGACGCGACAAAAAAAGATGGATTCAATTCTTAGAGAATGTATATATTATAATATGCTTGACGAAGTCTCTCGAGATACGCAACCAAGTAGACAGGGATTGAGTGTGAATGTACTTGCCTTTACGCACATTACGTCACTTTATGTGACATTTTCATACATATATCGCTTGTATTGATCATTCCTCAATTTATGTGATCTATTTTAAGCATGTTAACGTTTAAAGTGGATCTAAATTCACTTTTGCCACTTGAATCTTTCAATTCCAATTTTCGAGCTCCACTTTGGGATCTCCCTTCTTTGGAAGATCTTCCTTCAAAACTCCGAACTTCGAAGCCTGAGTTCCATTTCGATATCAATTCTTCCTTTTCCTTTCCATTTTTTTTTGTCCATTTCCAGACAATGAGAATTTGAGAAATTTTCTTTCAAACATCTTTGGACTTGCATATTATTTTAATAGTTTTATTTCTCCTCAGTTTTCATTTTTTTTTATTTGCGATTTCATACCTACTCTCTCGATCACAATTTAAATCTAATTTTTCGCTTGTTTAAACAACGTTCTGATGTTACTGATAGCTTTTTGGATATCTTTGTTGTTTCGTGAGATGAGACGAAATGGCAATTCCAATATTTGCTCTCCGAGCTCCCATCGCAATTCCAATCCCATTTTTTACCCCCTTATTTTTTTTTTTTACCCCCTACGTTTAAACTTTTTTTTAAACTTTACCCCCCCGTAACCTTTTCGGTTTACGGTAACGTTTTTACCCCCGGGTTCCTTTTACGGGGTAAAACGGTAACCCGTTTTCGGGAACCCCCGTAAAAAGGGGCCCTAAACCCGTAACCGGAAACGGGGGGGGTAACTTAAGGGGGTACGTACGTACGTACGTACGTACGTACGTAGTACGTACGTACGTACGTCGTCGTTCGTTCGTTACGTACGTACGTACCGTACCTACCTACCTTACCTACCTACCTACTACTCTCTCGTCGTCGTCGTCGTACGTACGTTACGTTAGTTTAGTTTAGTTTTAGTTTATTTACGTTTACTTTACTTTACGTTACTTACGTACGTACGTACGTACGTAACGTAACGTAACGTAACGTTAACGTTAAGTTAAGTTAAGTTAAGTTAAGTACGTTACGTTACGTTACGTTAGTAGTAGTAGAGAGAGAGAGAGAGAGAGAGAGAGAGAGAGAGAGAGACAGGATGAAAGTGAAAAATGTACGCGAGAGAACATGCTAATTCGGAGTAGCTAGTGTTGCGAGAATCGGGACGACTAATTGAGCACGCATTTAAGTGCCTCAAAGTATGTTGTATATTATGATTATTACCACTATTAATATTAATTAGTATACTATTGATTGCTCTATTATATTATTATCATCATCATTATTTTATTATTATTATACTTATAAGCAGGAGCTTTTGGCTTTAGGTGTTACAATGATGCATATGTACCCACACATACATATACACCACACATACATACACATACACATACATTCTTTAGTGAAAGTAAAGAGGCAAAGGATGCAAGAGAGACAAAGAGAGAGGAATAATTATTAACAAATATATATATATGTATGAATATATATATATATATGTATATATATATATGTATATGTATATATATATATATATATTTGTTAGTGATTACACGTATGCGACCTTAAATTGAAAAATATAATGAAAGAAGGTATGAGAAAAACGAAGAGGACGAAAAACCGATCTCCTGCGAATAGCAACGGAAATGCAACGGGATAATGTTGCGTCGACATACCTACTGCTCTATTTTGAACTTATGATGCTGCCGTTTCATTTGTACACACATACAAACACACAGGGCGTTTTAAAATAGGATTGTCAGCTGTTCTGTTAATAATTGAGTTGAATAAATCAAATAAATGATATGTCGGACAAACATCGGCTCTCAGAGGATCGTATATCGTGCTGGAAAGACATTCCCCTCGATTCTTGCGTTTTTTCATAGAATTGAGATTGATTGTGATCAATGAAAAATGTTTATATACATACATGCATATATATATAAAAGATGTGCATATATATGGATGTATGTATGGAGTATGCATGTAATTGGTATTGAATGCTCTTCAAATTTTTAGAGAAATTACTCAAATTAGATATATATTTTTTAATTACTTCAAAGATCGTTAAAGATGAAAATACTTGGATGATAATTAAGAGTCGGGAGTTTCAAGATCTATCAGTTCCATAATAAAGATACGTCAACGTGTACAGTTGACTATTGATAAGAAGAGTCACATGTTGCTATTGTGATGCAGCAACGTTTAGCAAAACGTTCAAAATTCTGGAGAAACTTCTACGATTAAAGCTGCCAAAGTATTCGAGTAACTCAGATGTCTATGGCTAATAAATCTAAAGCTGAGATGATATGTAATTTAAAAAGAAGTAACATTTCTTGATTCAGTGATTAAAAAATTTATCATGAAGGATCAATCAGGGGATTTCCGAAATCTTCAAAACTCAAGCAGTACTGGAATGATCTTTCGCTGCGCGCTACGTGATTCTCTGGAATTCACTTGATATAATGCTATCGTCCGCTGCATATTTCTGTGAGAGTAAGAGAGAAAGAAAGAGATACAGAGAAATATATATATTTAGCCCAGTTTCCGATGAAGCACCTTATATAATATACACATTCGGAAGAAGCGGATGTGTCCGAGATGCCAGAGAATGATCGATCGTCGATCGTCGATGAATTGAAAACGTCGAATTGGGGCGGTGTGGATCGTTTCAATTCGCACACGTTGTGCTCTAGGCGAGTCCTAAAGCGCGTTTCATTACTAATATAATATACGAGAGGCGATATACAGATTATATATATACATATATATATTTTTTTTTGGTGAATCATGCGCGGTTCTCTCCGAGATATGCGGCTTTGCTTCGCCGCCACTCTCCAACGATGTAGTAAAATATTATTCAATGTATATATACTATATATATATATATATATATATTATTATATATATATATATATATATATTATATACGCACTATGTATACTACTATATACACACCACACACACACACATACACGGGATATAGGATAAGCATTAATTATTATACATACGTTGATGTATGTGTGCGTAATGTAACGTCGCGATGTACGTTTCGCAATCCTATATTGCGATCTGTGTCGCAATTCTCGTGTCCGTGGATTCGTAACGGAAGGAAAAAAAAATAAATAATAGCGATTCGCGTAATCGCGCGCCTTGTCATATACACACGCAAGCGACTCTAACGATCTATTGAGCGATTGACCTCATCCGATTTCCTTTTCTTGGATTAACACGGGTTCTTTGGTTCTATTTTCCGTTTGTTCTTTTTCTCTTCTATAATTCACGTACACGCAACGTCCTCGTTTGTTGTTTTTCGATATTATACGTGCACGTGAAAAGGAAAAGCGCGGTGTAATTATAATTGGCTAACGAAAATTAGACCGAGGGATCTATGATGCTAAATGTTAACTGCGAGAGAGAAAGAGAGAAACGAATGGTGCGAAAAGAAAAAAATATTGGCCCGTGTGATTAACAGCGTTTCTTGAGCGAATCTTAAATGAATTAGAATAAGGAGGGAGGGAAAATTAGTAAGATATTGCGAAAGTACTTTGCCCATTAATTTAAGCGGATTATGGCTAATTGTGTGCTATTTATGTGATTTTAATAGATTCACGCTGAATCAGAGTTTTAGTCCTAGTAGATCGACCAGATCCTCCCAAGTCCTGAGAAAAATTCTTTTAGGTAATCCTCAAAAATTCTGATAATTCGTGTCGCATAATAATGAGGGTTCTTCGAAAACTGCACCGCGTGAGAATAATAATAATAATAATAATAATAATAATAATGTAATGTAATGCGACACGTACACCTCGATCTCGTAATTTGTCCATCGGGATCGAGCACGTCGCGGCGAACTCTCTGGCGATTGTGTCGATTAATTATCAAACGAAAAAGGAAGGAATTATCAAACAAAAAAGAAGAAAAAATACAATAGCAACGTTTCGTTGACGCATCAGGACAAGCTGTGATTATATAAAAAGAAAAATGAGGAAAACAGAACCGAGCAAGAGCAGGACGCAACAGGATGTGTATTCCTAGAAAGTCTGATTTTGTAAACTATTCTACGAGGAAAACACTTGTGTATTATATATATATGATATGCGATATATATGATATGATATATGATATGATCTATGACGTTTGTTTATTACTATGTAAAGTGACAGATTTCGAAATTAAACATTAATTACTGTTAATCGCTGCGTTTTGAATTTACTATTTCTTTTTTTTTTTTGGAATGTAGATGACTGTATTGATCGTCGGGAGGTGAGCGGAAGGACGCCAGATGGATATTCGAGTTTTGTAAAACATGAAAATTCGTATTTCTCACTTCAGGATTGTATATCATGTTGATATTTTTAAACAAAATAATTTACATGTTACTTACAGCTAGCGCAATAAAAAATAAGTTAACATTCGTTAAAACAACATTATACATTTATGTCTAATAACAACCTTGTGATTGCTCTTTCATGAGTGCTGCGCCAACATGACACTCGATTTTGCTATAAGATTCAGAATTCATTTCTTGCGAAAAATACTCGGCATACTGGGCGATCCGGTTTTCTGTTGAAAGATCTTACTCATCCTCTGGCGCATATCCTCAACACCCTGGCCGACGTTCACTGTCGCCATGGATAAGGAAAGTCCAGAACTCGCCGAGAGTGTCCTGAAATAAAAAGGTTCTTAACGTACGTCTTTGTGTATGCATTATCGAAAAAATATGCACAAGACATACATTTTTGTGTCTTTTAAGAAAAATATGCAAAAATATCACAATTTCAAGCATCTATCTGAATAAACTTTAAATCTATGAATTATTGCAATTATAGTATATTATATAATTAGTAATAAAAGTTGTTACATTTTTATACAATTCTTATGCTTATTAATTTATAATTTGTCACAAGCACATTTAGATATGTTTATAATTATTTTTATATGATACCTATCCATTGGCTTCGACAAATCCTGCCTGGATTCCGCCTCTCTGAGTAAGGAACGTACCGCGTCTTTTTGCTGAGGCAAACACTGAATTACCAACGTCTCGAGATGCCTCAATCCTGGTAGCACTACTCCCGAAACGCATTGACTACTTAACGGGCAGTAGACCAGCACCGAATATGCCTCCACCAGTGCATTTACTAGTTCGATTTTACGACTCTGTTGAAGCGCGAACGAGGCAATCGTTGATAAGTGTGTCGCTATTACTGCAATTAACAGTAGTTCAGAACAACAATAGACACAATGATAAAAATAATTCAAAGATGTAGAAAAAGAACAATTTTTTAATAAAATTATGATTGAGAATTCTTACTTTTCATATTTATCTTTTAAATTATATAAAGAAGAAATATTATATGGACTAAACGTACTGTCTTCTATGTAATTCTGTGGACAAGTGGGAGCGATGACCGCAAACGTAGAAACTAACGAAATCGCCAAAATTTGAGAGAGTTCTTGAGGATCCTTTGCGATCGTTTCTAATGTCAATCGTGCTTTATCGCGTGCTTCCCTCACTTTACACTCTGTTATTATACGGCCTAGCGTAGAAATTGCAGCACAACGTACACCACTGAAAATTCAAATATTCAATTGCATAATGTGAAATGAAAAGTATTAGTATTGAAAAAAATTCATTACATATATTTTTCGAAATCATTTTAATTAAGTTAATCATAAATGCCATTTTTATGATTAATTAGGTGAGTGGACAAAAGTTTTTTTCTATAACAAAGCTTTTTTGTTAGAAACATTTAAAAATTTTAAAATAATTAAAATTTTATAAAAAAGTGTGCTAAGCATTCATGAATTTCAGATACATGCATGCATTAGGTAGAGAAGAATCTCTCACACTTCAGGATCGCTAGCAAGCGTTACAATAGCTGGTACTATTTTGGCGTTCGCAAGTCGGTCTGAGACATATGCGATAATTGAACCGAAAAGTGTTGCTGTTGCACATCTTACAGAAGATCTCTGATGCATTACACCTGTAAAAAGCAGAAATTTTAAAGTAATTTTAAAGTAAGAAATATTTTATAATACAACAATGACAATTATGATAAAAATATGTATATTGAAAATGTAACAAAATTTCATTAATTTGATATGTATATATATTTTTAATTTAATTTTTAATCTATAAAAATATTTTTTAACAAAATAATTACGATTTAAATAAGAAATAAGAAATATTTTCTAAATTTTCTCGTATTTTCATTGTGTTAATTTGCATTTTCATTTCACTGTTTTTTTTTTGCAAACACCTTAATAATAATTGATATATATGAAATATAAAAAAAGAGATAAGAGAGAAACGAACCATCCCATAAACTAGCAAGTACATGTTCTTGCATTCGTTCACGTACACATAAAATACTGGCAGCGATTTGTAACCATGATATACTAGTGCCACTCATAGATAAAATCACGAGGAATTGTTTGAAATTGTTTGCGAGCTCTGTAGAATCGAGAGTACTCAGAATCACCAAGTAACTCGGGATTAAAGTAAGACTCATATTCTTCTTGTCAGTTGATAATGCTGTCAGTTGCTTTTCGAGTTCAGATACTTCTGGGGAAAATGCTGCCTGTATCTGAAATAGTTTAGTCACAAAATTTTTAAACATTTTATCAATAAATAACTTAAGATTTTTGAAAAATAATTTAAAAATTGTTTTAAAATCTAAGAATTCAAGAATTGAAAAATAACTCACAAATTTCAATAACTGAGTTATTAAAATTTTATTTACTATTTTAATAATATTCGTGTAAATATAACATCTTGTATTTACCCTAGATTGTGTGATGAATTTCCCGAAACCCACGCACAACGAATGGATATACATAAGAAGGGTTTTTAAAACATTTTCTTGTGTTGCATCCACAGACTTTACCATATCCAAAACATCAAATACTCTATCAAAGAAAAACAAATACACTTTGAAATCAACAATTTGAACAGGAATAATCAAACTTTCAGAAATTAAAAGTTTTAGATTTTTTATCATTGTTTCTTTTAAGACATTCAATAAATAATTAAACAAAAATATAATAATAAATAAATTTTTATAGACTAATTTTTAATAACATAATTTACTATTATTTTAATAATAAAACGAGAAATAATTACAATTTTGTCGTAAACCAATCTAATTCCGGCCAGGACGCATCCTCCCAGGATTTGGAGAAGAAGGTGTTAAGAAGAACGCCAACGTCAATGGAACCCTCATAGAATATCCTTGGATCAACGATATTGGAGTGACACAACGCCAGAAATTCCTTGGCTGCACCACAAAGTTTCTAGAAAACTTTTGTGCTTTTGTTTTTGTGCGAGCTTATGAGTTTTATATAAAATTTACTAATTAACTTTTCACAAATGATTTAACGTTTAAATAATAAAATTTTAAATTTGTCTACTTTTAAATCTATAAATATTTATATAAATACTTAATTTTCAATATATTTTACTCATATTCACACAGATCTAAATTCTCTAAATTTATTTTTATATTTATATATTTTTTCAAATTTTTGAATTCAATTTTAACATCCATTTCACATTTCATTTGATTTCAACTTTTTAATTTTAAAACTTTAGATATTTCAATATATTTTTTCACTTTTTAACTCATCATTCATTTTGTCTTGTAATTATTCTATCATAATATTTCTATTTACTTCCTCAATAACTCACACAAGTCCGGCGATGTATCATCCTTGATGCAGGCTCGTACCGTATCGGTATTAGCAACGCACAAGACCGTGTATGGCAAGATGCATTGCAAAATACCAATCGATGGAGTCAATTTTTCTTCGTCGACGTAATCTTTATTTGGCGAAGTCTGAGAATGCGTCGGTTTCAACTGATTCTTTACTTTTGAAATTATACGCGGCAATAAATTCAGATGTAGTCTTTTCAAAGATAATGCCCATTGTGCCAAGACCGGTAATAATACTGACGATGCCGTTTCAACGACTATAGACGATGTGTCATGGAGTGCAGTTAATGCCAGTTCTTCACACTTTTTACATGTAACAATAAAAATATATTATAGAAATATATTATAGAAATAAGAAAGGAATATAAAAAATAATAAAATATTTACCTGAAAGTATTTATCAGGATCGTCCATCAAAGCTATGAGTAGCGCGAGACTTCTTACTACACTAGTTCGTACAACAGGATCTTTATCTTCCAATAACATTTGCTGTAACATTGACAACATCAGCGAATTTCTGATGGAAGCTGATGTATACGATGCGAGTACAGAGCAACATTCGACAGCTAATAATCTTCTCTCTGGATACTTGTGTTGACTCTGCTCCCAGCAAATCGTTAGAATTTCTTCTGTTTCCAGCGACTCTTCCGCAAGTTTCACCATTGCGACTAAACCTGAAAAGATAGAAAGTAACAGGTTTGGTAAAATTTTTTAATTAAAATTTTGTACATTTACGTGTATATAAATACAATTTTTTTAAAGAGAGAACATAATCAAAATCTCGTTTTATTTAAATCTATTAGATTATTAAGTTCCACATATTTTTACCGGCTAGTATCATTTGCCGTTCGTCTTCTTGCGGTCTTTTCTTCAAATTAAACAACAGCTGCAGCAACTTCTCTCTTTCGCTAGAATTGGAATGGAGATGGATCGCGCTAAGGATCAAAGGAATGATTTCTTCACGTTTATTCAGAATTATATTGGGCACTACACGTGGCAAAGTGTATGCTAAAATATCAACTAATGTATCCCGAGTGACTCCTTGCTTCAATGATTCCTCTACCGAAGTCATTAATGATCCCGAAACGTCTGCCATACAATGCGTCGCTATTTCCAATTTGAACTTCGTCGGCAAATTTCTGTAGTATTTACAAATATATAATAAAAACATCTTTCATTAGAAATCTTTGTATAAAATTTTTGAAACCGAAATATTCTTAAACCGACAAAATAATTTAATTAGTTATTTTGTAACTCTTTTAAAAAAAAGTTTATGTCGTTTATATTATTTCTCAACTTTGTCTAATTCAAAAATTTCTTAATATTTTTAAAAATTAAATAAATTAAATATACATAATGGCACAAATAACCTGGAGGATGCAGTTGGTAAAACAGAGGATTTCTCTGTAACATTTACTCTAGGTAATTGCAACCTGGTCCACTCTTTATCCCCCGGATCTGTTTCATCCAAACTAACTACTGCGGAAACGCTATCGTCTTCTTCGGGTTCCTGAGTAGTAGTCGACATGTCTCTCGGTAATGGTTCAAGTAATTCAAATTTATCAGGAGTCGTAGAACTGGAATTGATAGTGCGGATAGTTCCACAGCTACCTGACTGCAAATAAAATAATTTCTCACAATATACAACGCTTTAAAATGTTAATTTTAATCATGTGGAAATTCTTAAAAATTTTAAAAATTAATTATAAAATTATTTTGTAGATAAAAGCACGAAATGTCTTATCTTACCTTCACTGGATTTTCTATAATATTGTCCTTGTTTGACGAAATAATCTCTTGGAGAATAGTTTTCTCTTGCTCCAGTACAGCAATTCGTTGCTGTAATCTTTCTACCTGCTCTGCCTGTAAAAAATATAAAATTTTTAGAACACAATTTGAATTAGACAACCAGTAACTAAAACATTTTGTTGAAAAAGTTGTTGAAGTTTCAAAGTAACAAACCATCTCCTGAAACTCATTCTTCTGCTCTTCAACATCCTCGACGATAAAATCTGTTTGCATGGCGATATTTACAGACGGAGGTTTATCATATCCGTTAGCTCTCATATATTCTCGATATATCTGCAATAATTGTGCAGGTTTGGGAATATTTAAGCCTACGTCTTGCCAATCCTCGAAATCCTGCTCTTCACACTCGTCATTGAAGGTTATCGAGGTGAGCTTGTACGATCTTGCCAACAAGTATTCGTTGATGAGAAAATTCAATGCTCGCTGTTCGTGCGGTTTTATAGGCAATTCGGTAGTTGGATTCTTTTCAGAATTTTTATCTGGTGCCTTCAGCGTACCTTCCAACTCTGAAATTTTAATTATTTATTTCATTTTAATTTAATTTTAAATAGTATCAATATATATTATTAATTAAAATTATGAATTGAAAAATATCTTATTATTCGAGTAAAAAAATATACCTGTTACCACAGTTAAATTAGCACGCAACGCAGATATATTTTCCTTGGCTTTGCGCAATTCAAATTCGAGAATAGCTACTCTCTCATCAACACCAGCTCCATCCTCTGAGTACCGAGTCATATCCAATGAGTCCAAAGTGGCTTGACTAGAAGATCTGGCTAATATTTTATTTACATGTAATATTTCATTCATATTTCAATCACATCTGTTTGTTGTTAGATAATAATAAATATAATGTAGTAATTTAAATTAGTAACATTTTTCATTCATTGATTTTATATTAATGTCTGAAAACTGTTTCCAACACTTCATAAAATAATACAAATCAAATTTTTTAAATTTAATTCTCTTTCTTTAAAAAGGATTTTTCTTTCAATAAGTCTGACTAAGACTGTTTATTTTTTCTTTTTGTGAGATAAAAAGTTTATTAATATTAAAATCCACTTTTATATGTTCACATTTAGATACATACGCATCGGAGTGTATGGCTCTGGTTTGATATTGGAGCTCTCGAAATTGTTCGGATTTGAAAAAAAATCCCTGAGAATGGGTAGTTCTTTGCCAGCTTCACATAATTCAGCGTGCAATTCCAAAGCTGTCAACAGAAGTTTCTCGTTGAGAAGTTTGGTAGCTATCTCCTCGTAGGATATCGATGTCCTCGGAGCCATATATCCTGAAATAACAATAGACATGAGAAAAACATGAACTCGATCACAAATCACTTTGCATTTGTAATCAGCTTCATAGTTTTTTGTGTAATTACAGGTAATTATTAGCATTGCTGCGAGATCAATGTGGACGGGAGTAGGTTACCTTTGCTATTCGCGGATGGGAGTTCCTTTATTTCCTCGACACTGCTCGCCATGATGCTAATGTGTTCAGGTACGACTAAGAAATGACATTTCCACGTGAGACAATATTAGCCCGTCTCGTGTACGTCGCTTCGATATTAAACACCGTGCATATGTAACGGAAAATGATTATTTATAGTGCAGATACGATGACACCTCATCTGACAAGCATGAAACTGCGTCACGTAGATTCGCGACTCGTACGCGACGTCTAGTGTTCCTGAGATTCCTAAAATTCCCTATTAAACAGCTAATTAAAATTTAAACGGCCACTCGCAATCTAGTAATCTCTTGGATCACCTTCACGTGTATCAAGATAAAATTATGTGACTTGCAAAATTTGTATTTACTTTCTATTTCGGATGATTGTATAGATTTATAATTGAAATTATAAAAAAAATATGAAAAGACTAAACATGTATTATTTCTGTTTTCATATTTTGTGCCAATTCCCTGCATTATTCGAAGACTTCCTTTTAATACGAATAACATAAATAACAATATCAAGAAATTGCTTTATTAAATCGACTGTAATATTGTTGCATTTTCTGTGTTACATATTCTTATCATATAACTTAATTTATATTATTTTTTTCAAGTCATTATCGTTATTAACATTCACGAATACGAGGGCGCATTCTGTAAACGTCACGACACCGTCTTTATTAGATCCCTTGATCATTCTGTAGATATATTAGTCTACAAATCTATTCAACATTAAAAAAAAAAAAAGCACGCATTAGTATCTCATCGAGCGGCTCAAGAGAAATGCCGTGCTTTCTCTTAATTTCGTCTAAGAGCTCCAGGTATTGTGGATTCAAGGGAAGCCATCGTCATCCTCTTCGGCCATCTCCTTCGCCAGCTCCAGATCCTGTTGTTCTCGCTCCCTACGTTCCTCTGCAGATTCCAGATCCTTTCCATAAGACTTCGGCGGATAACGCATCGCCTTGACACTCTGGTTATGCAGATCCAGACAGAAGGTGATCCTCTGATGGAAGGCCAGCAGCGGTTCCTTAGTGCAATAGATGTCTGTGGTCTCCTTACTGCGCATGTAGCCGTTCTCTGGATCCAAGGTGGCCTCGATCACCCCATCGCGGATCGCCTTCGCCACGATGAACTCCGCATCCACGCTCGAATCCAGTCCTAATTTACGAGCTATGTCGGCCGGTGAAATGCGGGAGTAAGAGAGTCCGATCGAACGGATGGCAGTCTTGATGACATTATGCCGCAGCCGTAAGATCAGGGTGAACGTATGATCCGCACGGAACTGTGGCCCAAAGTTCTCCAGTACTTCGCCGAAGCGCTGCAGATTGCCCAGACGTACCGCCTGCGTCAGCTGGAAGTACGGGGCTAAGGCTCTCCGTAGAGCAGCCTGCCGGAAAATCTGCCTCTCCGGAATATCGCCGAGAAGAAGCTCCACGGCGACCGCCAGCTTCTGAACCGTCTGTCTGAATCCGACTGCCGTAGTCTGAGGCGCTTTGCGCATCGCCTGCACCAGATACTTGTGTGCAGCCGAATATTCCAATCTGGCAGCCTTTATCCTGCCGAGGTAGTAAAGGAAGCGAGCCCACTCATTATTGCTAGCGGACTCGGGGAAGGTCGATTTGAGCACCAGCTTGTCCGCTTGATCGTAAAGATTGTAGTGCAGATAGTTACGCAGCAGGCAATTGATCAAGACCGCTTGGCCCTCGAAGTCATTGCGGAGAGTCGCGGTACGCAGACGCAGATGCAGAAAACCGCGGATCTTGTCGAGCTGATCCGTCAGTTCGTAGGCGCGAGAATGATAGAAATAGCATTTGGCCGCGATCAGGTCGATGGTCCTGCGATTTTGTGCGGCGATCTTCTGTACCAACAGCTCCGAACACTGCACCGCTTCGTTGTACTTCCCGGTGTCGATCAGCCGGATCAGCACCAGCAGATGAATGTAGCCATCGATCTCGGGTAACAGAGATGACGAAGAGCTACGGAACTTCTGGGTGACGGCCTGGCTGTCGTCCACGTCCATCGGCTCCTCCACCCAGGCGAGCAAAGCGTCACGCTCGGCAACGGACTTGGTGTAGAAGCCTGTGACGAGACCGCGCAGCACGGTCGGGTTAAGCCGACGGCGGGTGTTCGGCAGGGTGCGAAGGGCACGGAGCACGAAGCGCGGCTCCTTATTCTGAACCGCTTTCTCGATCTGCCGCGTGTGCTCGCGGATGTCGCATAACGTCTGCATATCGGTGTCCCTACGCTCACCCGCGCCGTCACCGTCGCCGTTTTGCGCGTCCGACGCACCCGTCGGATTTACGTCCACGTCCATCGCCTCGACGTTCCTGCCGCTCGGCACACCCATCCTTGGTCCGCTCACGATTTTGTTTCCACTAAGATAAACCTGGTCTCGTTGATGGTGTCGACGTTAAGGACGGCTCTCTCCGTTCTCCGGGTAACCTATCGCTTAGATTCTCATCATACACCTCGTATTTATGCAACTCACGCAACGCTCACCGAGAGGTTAAAACCGCCCGTTCGCTCATTGGTGCTCGCGATGAGAAATCTAGGGGAGGTCATTGATAATGTAGCGATTATAGACTCGCGACTGCACGTCATAGGAAAAAAGAACTAACCTGTGATAAATTATATGAAAAATTTTAATTTTCAAATTTTTGAGATTAGAATATCCTTCCGGTATATATTTCGATAGCTAAGACGGATTTTGCGAAAATTTCAAGAGCTTTTCAACTAAATTCAGTTGTCTTAACTTTGTCTCATCGATATCATCGAAGAGTTTACAATAGGCAACGATGGCCGTTGCCGGTTCGCGCGTCGAAGAATTAATCAATTATTTTAAGTCACATAACAAGATTCGAGAGCAACAGAGTCACTCGGCGAAGGTACACAGTGTGGGATGGAGTTGTGACGGCAAATATCTGGCATCGGGCTCCTTCGATAAGTCCGTTTGCATATTCTCACTATGCCCAGATCGTTTGGTTAGTAAACATAACCTGTAATATAACATCTCTGCGGAGCATTTAATCCTACAATAAAGGTTCTCTGCGGAATTTTCCGTGAAATTTGGCACCTTAGTGGTTTGCAATTTTTTTTTTATAATTCTAAATATATATGTCCGATATAGAGAAAAATAAAAGACATACATACTTGGTAATATAAAAGTTGCATATAACTTTAAGATAATAAAATAATAATAAATAAAGTTATGTATAAAATTTTGTTATTGAAGTGAATAATAAAATTTTATTCTGCTCTTAAATTATTTTAATGCTAACCCATCCTAGATCTAATAACATAACATAAGCTTCTTCTTTTCATTCAGAAACAGGAAACGACTTTTAGAGGACACGGAGGTAGCGTAGATCAACTATGTTGGCATGCTTTTTGTCCAGAATTATTATCCACAGCGAGTGGAGATAAAACTGTTCGCATCTGGGACACAAGGACACAGAAATGCACGGCAAACATCAGTACTAGAGGAGAAAACATTAATATATCTTGGTCACCAGATGGTAATACAATTGCAGTAGGAAACAAAGAAGACTTGGTCACATTTATTGATGCTCGGGTGATGAAAATACGTGCTGAGGAGCAATTCAACTTCGAGGTGAACGAAATCTCATGGAATAAAGACTCGGATACATTTTACCTGACAAACGGTCAGGGTTGTGTACATATACTTAGTTATCCAGAATTAGAATTATTGCACGTGATTAAAGCGCATCCTGGTACATGTATTTGTATCGAATTTGATCCAACTGGAAGATACTTTGCTACCGGTTCAGCAGATGCATTGGTCTCCTTGTGGGACGCCGACGAGCTTTGTTGTTTGAGAACATTTTCGCGACTAGAATGGCCAGTCAGGACAATCTCTTTCTCATACGATGGACAACTTCTAGCGGCGGCTTCTGAGGATTTAGTCATAGACATTGGTGAAGTACAAACTGGTGAGAAGATTACTGACGTCCCGGTAGAGGCAGCTACATTTACTGTCGCATGGCATCCGAAACAGTATCTCTTAGCTTACGCGTGCGACGATAAAGATACTTACGATCGAAAGCGCGACGCTGGTAGTCTAAAAGTATTTGGCTTCGCAAATGATTGAGTGAATTATTTGTATAAAATGATATGACTTATTTGTATTGAATGTGTATATACTCTAGAAATATCTCATTTTATAAATATCTATAAATAAATTTAATAATATACACTTCATAAACATTATTCTTTAACTGAGATCATGCCATACAATGAAGACTAGATTATTCCACGACTAATCTTAAAATTAAGCCGTATCCCAAGAACTTTTAAAAATGCGATTATAGAAAATTTTGTATAAATATTAGAAACATAACGAATTTGCATAAACGAGTCTGAAAATATTTTATTGGGTAATATTAAAAATATAAGAATTATTGACTTTCATACTGCACGTTGAACTTCGTCTATTTCATCTTACCGAGCATATTCTGATCTGAGTCGATTTATTGATTGAAAGACTCAAACGTTATCAAGCATGAAATTTTTTTGTTGATCGTTCGGTTGGCATAGTTACTGTGTCCGAACCACGTGAGTCACGTTCTATTTGCTTGTATCAGCGGAGATTGACTTCGCGTTTTTCGTTGGATCTCGTTGTCTTCTCCGATGATCTTTAGCTCATTATGGCGAATCCAAATGAGACGAAGATCATCTGCGAATGTCGGTATATTCCTGAAGAAGAGAGTATACGAGAGACATCAGATAGATTTAATAACATTCACGAGTTCGACGAGGAAGAGAGCGAGACTGAAGCAACATTAGAATTGGAATGGATAGATCCTTCCGCTTCAGATGAGAAAGGCAATGAAGACACAATGAAGACTAAGGAGACATTAGACGACGAGTCCACGTACAAAGACGAATCCTTTTGTTCCGATGAATCCTGTGACGAGTCCGAGATCACCAACGTTACCTCGGGATCGCTAAACTCTTCCTCTCTGTTCCGCGTCAGTGATCTTCAGTTCAGCCAAAGTTCGAAGCAACAGGACACTGCAGTTAACGAGTCAACGTGGAGAGAAAATCAGGATGAATCCTATTCGCTTAACAACGAATCACGTCGCGTGACCACGACAGATAAGAACAATTTTGCCAAATCGAGAAAGAGCAAACGCTGGAATATGACTTTTACAGATGAAGAAATGCGCAGAATCGAGCGGGAAAACGAACTACTGCTGAGAAAGATTATGGCGCAACAGAAACCCCGGCACAAGATCTTAAATGAAGGCGCCGTTCAATCCAGGACTAGCAGCTCTGCGATAAACAGGAAGAAATTGCAAAAGAAAATAGAAAACGATAACATGGTATGTAATTTTGATATCGTTTCGATTCAAATATATCATAATTTAGATATATGTCAAACTGGATTTGGGATTTTTGAGATTTTTTGGATGGGGTTTTTATACTCTTTTCTTTACATTTTTATAAAAATCGAATGAAAAATAGCGGAAGGCGTATAATACGAAAACTTCATTTACAGCTGCTCCTCAGAAGAATACAACAGGCGAAGTCATGCGTTTTCGCGAATGCATCAAAAATGGGTTGTAGATTGACTTTTTTATAAAAATTTTTATATCGACTAAAATTTTGTATTACATTATTAGAAAACAAAATCAATGGCACATACATTTGCTGACTGAAATTTAATAAATTGACATTATCCGTAAAAAAGTAACGGGATATAAATTGTGGAATTATGAAAGTTTTTATATACATAAGAATGAAATATATCAGCATTTATATAGAAGAATTGCAATTTCGAGATAATCTCTGAAGAAAAATTCATACTTTCCCCGAATACAAAATACATTGTTATGCATTTTTATGACTTCTTTATTAAAACACAACGATTACCAGTCTTGAAGAATAGGTACATATTTCTTTCGCTTCATACTTTGTGTATACGGCGTAATCTTGTAAACTTGTCTCTTGAAAATTTCTTTGAAGATATCTCTACAAGTCAAGACTATAAAAAATCACAGTTCTCACTCATCTCAAATAACTTAATTATCACTCATAATATCAAGATCGGGACTCTCGAATATTGCGATAGTTCTTTCTTTCATTTTTTCCTCCCTGCATATATATACACGGATAATATCGTAAGAGAAGAGAAAAGGTATATTATGTGTCAAGGAGCAAATTATAAATTTCCATGATACAATTATTCCTTTAAATTAATACGTGCTGTGATTATAATATGAAATTGTATTTTCTTTTCCACCTGTTTATATTGATTTTGTAATTCCATATGTACTATTTCCATTTTATTGTTAATCGCGATCACTCATGTTCACTCTTTGTAACAAACCAAACCAAAACAAATCAAAAGCAAACCAAAAACAAAACTAAAAATAAAAGAAAATATTCGATTATCCTGCATCGCAAGTAATTTAAAGTATCTTATCGGTTGCTTTAAATAACAAAATACAAAATAAGAAAATGTAATATCTAGATTTTGGTTTAAGAAACTGTACGAAAATAATTCGTCTGAGAGACTTCACCTGCGTTACTATCGTACAACATAATAGTAACAATTATATCACAAAGTACGCTCAGCGTAATAGCAACAAAACAACAATTTTCGTAGCTCCGAATTCATTATTGTGGTTGCAGCAATTACCTCATTGCCATTAAGACCGTCGTAATTTCCTTTCGATTTTCACCAAAAAATCGTAAAATAAATATACGGTATCACAAGATAAAACCTTCAAAAATCCAAATCATTAATCCTCGCGCTTTGTCCTCCACGATTCCGTCGACGATGGTGTCCATATTGTGCTGAGTGAACGGAATGGATCAAATCCCGATCTCTCCTAAAATAATCATCGAAAATTTATTATCGGTTCTACATAAATTAGATTTCCTTTTGTTGTGTGTGTGTGTGTGTGTGTGTGTGTGTGTGTGTGTTTTTATATATATATATTCATTAGCTACGTACTTGCATGTCCGTCTCAGACTGTAATGTTTGCGATGCTATGGGAGGTGCAGCTGCACCCCAGGGTGCCGCAGCCCACACACCTCCCGTATTAATTCCCCATACACCGCTGCGTTCCTCTCCGACTGCTGCTCTAGTATATAACGGTTCCCAATTCGTATCAACTGTCCAATTATCTGTAAAGCACATTTTAAAATTTGTTGTATTAAAAGTTTCTTTCCTAATCTTTTAAATATTAGTAAATTCCGTATTAGTAAATATTAGTAAATTATTCCACATTTAAATCTAAATAATTTAGAATAAGTTTTGATATTTTTTCTAAATAAATTCTAAATTGATATTACCTTTTAAATCAGATAAAACTGGTTTCTCCGGGGTTTTTGGCGACTCCAATTGAAATCCGTTCGTACTGTCAGACAATAAATTTATCATAGGACTAGTATCTTCCCACAATTGGCACCGCGTATCTTCATCGGGAGTCTCCAACTCTACCAAAGGCTCATCAGTTTCTGGAAGATCGTCATACGGCACCAGCTCGCACTCAAACTGCTGACAGTTGATAATTAAAAAATTTGATTGAAATTTTTAAACAGTATTCAAAGATGGAGTTAATTCAAACTGCAACTTACAGGCTGTTCTGTAAAAGTGTTGATGAAATAACTGTTTGAATGTTGCGAATCAGACTGCAAAATTAAGGGCTCTGGGTCGAGTGATTTATTTTTGTTTGTAATTGTATTACAGAGGGAGGCTGGATTTGACATCAAATTATATTTCTTTGGTGTTTGCAGAGACTCTTGCAGTGACTCTTGCACCGATGGTTTAGCATATTGAACGTCTTTATCAGTATTGAATACTGTGGACAAATTTGACGTGCTCGTTTGACTCTTGTGATTTATATGACTTAAATTAGAAAATGGTGTGACGATCTCTTGACTTCGCGCTACTACATCACTGAACTTAGCCCTGTTTTCGCCCCAACGAGAGGGCGGAGGTGGTAATGGAGTGGGAATTGTTCCTATGATGCGCGTTACATCTTCTTTTTGACTTATATTTCCAATTACAGGAGGAGCTATATAATGACAACAAATAACAATTAGTAAACTTTACTAACAAACATCACTAAATTATATAAAATCAAATGAAATTTATAAATTAAAGAACAAAGAAAAAGATTTTCCACGATTTATAAATTTAATGGATTAATAAATTTCAAGTAATTGTTTATATACGATTATCGATTTAAAATCCAAAAATTTAAGAATTAAAAATAATTATAATTTTCTTTTTCTCTCTTCATGTATTTAATTATAATGTAATGATATATCATATATGAATAACGTACATTTAACGTGCATTTTGTCAGCCATACGACGTTTCTGCACCGTCTTCTCCTTCCGTGGTGGATTTTTATTTTGACGTGATAACTTAAAGGATGATTCGACGGTACGTGAAGTATGAACATGATGGTGCTTCGTACTGGATCTAGTAGTATTTGTTTTCCATCTATTTGGATTATTCTGTTTCTCCTTATCATATTCATCATCATCACAGTCGCCTTCATAATTATCCTTATAATCTATGCATGGCACAGGGGGAATAGACTGAGGTTTGCTTTTCTTAGATATCGGTTTTCTTTGTAGCTTCTCTTGCTTTCCACATGGTTGATCAAAATCCTTGGAGTAAGTTATGAAAGAAAATTCTTTTTATAAATGTCTCGAGACAACAATCTGTATTTATAACAAATTAACAAACCGATATTTTCATAACAAGAATTCGATTACGATTTTAATATCTAATAATTTTCTTGTAAATTTTTTAATGTTTGTCAATTTCCAGGCAATAAATTATCTTAGTATATTGATATAAGATTTTTGAAAAGTAAAGTATAATTGTAAACTGAAATTATTTACATTTTTTTAAATAAATTAATATAACTGGAACTTACTTTACACAATGTCGTTTCATCGTGAGTCGAACTCTCTGTTGTCGTAGACGAGGTCTCTTCTTCCGAAAGATGATTGGTCTTTTGAGTGCTCGCTGGTTCAAGTTTTTTCAATGAAATCTGATTGTTGTGATTATTATTGTTGTTTCCATTATTATTTGTCTGCTTATTGCGCTTGTTGTCCGATTTGTTAGCCCGATTATTATTCATTATTGCCGTGTCCATTGGAACCTCGTGATCGTTCAATTTTGGCTCTTCCTTAACATTCGATTGCGTTTTTCCTTTTCTGTTCATTGTCGGACTCGATTTTGTAACTACATTCGTAACAGCGTACTTTTTCTCTGGAATTAACTGAGTGTCCACGAGTGTATCGTTTGCCACGCAATTGTCCGATTGAGCCTCTTGAATATTGTTTTGTTTCTTATTACTCTTTTTCTTCGATCCGCATGTATTTGTTGTACTCACGACATTAATGTTATCTATATTAGACGACTCCTCGCATCGCTTGAAGGATAGCAAATCCTTAGACTCGGTGTCCAACTTGAATCTACGTTCTTCCTCGACAGACCAGTCCGGGATTTTCAATCCTTTCTGCACATCTTTGTCCTTACATTTTTTTACATTCATTAATGACCAATCTGGGAACGTCTCATCTTTCTTCATCTTGCTTTTCTCGTCGTTTGTTGCAGATTTTTCGTTTTTATTAACAGTACAACCGTTGCTACTATTGTTACCTTGTGTCGAAATATGCGATAGCAATCTTAGATCCAGAGGCGGTTGCACTGGGTTCTCTTTTGAATAATTGGACAAACCTTCCCGTAATATTCGATCCGCCTCGAGGAATGAGACTACAGCGACACACAACATCAGTATCGACGAGAGAATGAGAGCGGCCTTTTGCACCGCGCTTTCCCATGGCGGCCTGGCGAGCACCGACGCGCATAAATTTAACGAGTGCATCGGTAAAGTCGCCACTAGATTAAGTATCACTACGCCGTTTTCGACGTTCTTGCCAGTATCCGGTCCCATGCTCGTCATCACCAACAGTTTCCGTTCCACGCGCGACAACGTAAAGTCCGGGGTGAACGCTATCTCAATCCTTTTAGTAGCATTCGGACTTAATTTGAAAGGCGTGCAGTCGAGCACCTTAAAACCATAGCCTTCGCAATGCCAGTCGTTGATATAGAAACCGTAAATTTCGATAGGCAGCTCTCCTGTATTCCTAGCCGTAAAAGATCGCTTTACGGTGATAGTCGTGACAGGCTTGCTGCGATCTCCTGAGAAATGAAAGCGTTATAAGAAATTTCATTTCGATTATAATAACTGAAATTGCTAGGAAACATGTACGATGCAAAAGAAGCATGGGTATAATAACGGGACAATAAATTAAGCATGTGAAGAAGGTAAATTTTTTTTCCGAGATCATATGACGAAGATGAGGAAACGTACATACGTTCGCAATCTTTAAGATATTTGTCCGTCAGTTCAAACAACAGAGGTGTAGACGATCCCGGCTTGCGGTGGCCGAATCTAAATTGTGCGCTCGCGCCTCGACCACTCATACGTACAACTTCTAAAATAGTCATATTATTTCTGGAAAGTAAAATATTAATACATAAAATTGTATACTCTTATCATTAATATATTCATCTCATTTTTTATCTTGTAGTTAACTTACCTAATATATAAAAAACCAGACGACGCCGAAGTGGAGAAGGGTGTATATGCCACGCGAATTGTCCTTGTTTCCAAAGGGTTTAAATATAAAGGAAGTGTTTGAGGCGCTATCGTTACACCCCACTGTTTCTCAAACAATTGGCGCTCATCCGTTCTTTCTTCTAGCTTGAACTCTTCCGGAACCGTGGACAAACACTCCGCACATACGGGTTTAAATCTGTGCATATTAAATATTTTTCATTAATTTTTAGTCAAAATAGAATTTACAAAAGATCATTATTAGTGAGATGATAATCAGCTACATACTTCATTGGCAAAGAGTGATAAAGACGCGCTCCTTGAGGATAGCTCCAGCCCATAACCAGCTGAACTATCAGCGGACTCGCACTCGGATTGTGTAGCTTGATCGCTCTGTACGATGTGTTTCCGACCTGAGTTAACGGGAACATTAGGACACTCTTGTTCTTTATATTACTGGAGCCAGCCAACAAGCTCGGCCAGTACGGTTTAATGTTCACGTAAAATCTGTGACTGCGCACTTCAGTCGTGTCTAAGCGCATTGTGACATTCTCCCACGAGCCATCCGCAGTGGAATTGATAAAACGCACGTATCGTGTATTTAGCAAGTTCAAATCGGAGTCGCGAGTGTGCGATGGAAGGCTCATGGTGTTCAACCACTGATTTCCCGCTGCAAAACAAAATATAACTACGAAACAACTAAATCAATATATATAACTAATAATTATACAATGAAATCGTAAAAATGAGTACGTGATGGTAATTTTCGAATTTACAGGAAGTAAAGTAAATGAGTGATGTGTCGCTTACTGTTGGTATCCATTGATAAACCTAAATAACACTGCTGCTTGCAAATCATCGAAGGATCAATTTGTATCGAGCCTATGTTATTCTCGCCTTTGGATATGACTGGCATTGTAGCCTCCTCCAATGGAATATACTTTATCCTATCGTCTTTATTTATAGGTGCAATATGCATTACTTCCATCGGTCTTGAGAATGAGGAATGCACCTTCACTTGTTGCACACAAATCGATCCCTATTTGACATTCAAACATTAGATTACAGGTTATCTTATTGGAGTATTGATTCCGAAGAGAACGGATTTACAACTCACAGGGAAGCAATCAGTAAAAATAAGCTTCTTCAAGGAAATCTTGCCGTGCGCAACCCGCATATACACTGGTAAAGTAAACCGCTCGTAGGTCGTTCGTACGAAAACATCGCCAACAATCGTATCCTCCTCGACCATAGGAGTTTTCACTTTAATTTTAAATATTGCCAAAAACTCCGGTTTTATATATTGCTAAAATAAAAATTAATATTTAGTTATTATATTATATTATTATATTTATACTATATGTGCGAAGAAAATGCGAACTTATCGTGTAAGTCTTACGTTTCCAGAATGGCTGCATACAGTTATATTTCGAAATTCCTTATCCAATAAATCCGCAGGACCGTTTTGACATCCCATCAATTCTAATACTGCACCAGGCATGTTTACACCCCAGCTGTGTAACTCCACATTGACGGGATTTTGATTTTCCAGCGCAAAAATTGCTTCGTTCTCAGTACCGCTTCCTACAGTACCGAAATTCATTGTTCCCATATCGTCTTCCTTTTCGCCTGGCATAACTTTTTTTAATTTGCCATCATAACTCAACACTGGAACTTCGGTCACCGACACGTTTGAATGTATCAATATCGATGACTCCATTTTCACATTATCACCCTTCCTTTCTTTGGCAAGTTGTAAAGAAAATATATTGATCTTTTGTTCAGGTTTTATTACTCTAGGAGTAAAATTTTTTATCTGAAAGAATCATATACATAAGTTTTTTTCATTTCGGAAGACAAACTAAGTAAAAAGTAAAAAAAAAGATACATTAAAACAAAAAGATAACAGTTCTTACCGTAAAAAGCGATTTCGCGTTCGAACACATCGTGACATTCGTAATAGCTAATGGTAATTTAAATTTATTCACCACGCTAAAGTTCCGGGCTTGATTGGATTGCGGAGAACAGTAATGAGTAATCGATGTGTTTACTTCTAATCCACCCTGTAGCACCTGAGCTACCCAGGGAATTGCTAATTTTTGACTAGAACCACCTGGACCTATTGCTTTTATTATTAATTTGCCTTTAAAATGTTGCAAGTCCAAACCGGTTTTCCCTGTAAGAAAATATAAAATTATTTTAAATACTGACGATAGAATATTTTTCTACAATAGACAATATTGCATCTTACAATCGTAAACTAGCATTCCGATAGCGATTGGTATATCTGTCTCCCCCGGAATTATTGCTGGCTCAAAATGCAATTTTAATGCTTTCGATACTGGTGTATTTATAATATTCTATGAGAAAAGCATTATGTTTAATGTCATATGTTTAATGTCATATATATCATATCATATATATTAATTAATATTGATTTTCTTTTCTAAATTCCATTAGAAAAGATCTCAATTATTAGACACACAGCTTACCACAACTTTAATTGCTTTTTTCGCGGAATTTTTTAAAGCAATAGGGTGGCGAATGGGTGGCTGCAATGAGCCACCCATACCTAAATTAATTATTCCAGAACTCCCACCCCAATGAAGACCAGCTCCACTTTTGACTTCTACTTCAACTGCTACCACAAGGACCTCAGCAGTATTATTCACTTTAAATCTAGAACAAGTTCCAATTGCAAAGATTAACGCACGTATATTTATAAACTTATAATGTCTATTAATGTCTTATAAATATACAGTCTACTATTTAATATACCTACCTAATGTATGCTGTATGATTCTTTTCTGCATAAGCATTAAAAGTTAGTCGAATGATAGGCTTTGTTTGATAAGGTAAAATTTCCCATAATTCACGAGTACCTTCCGGCTCGCCTGATGGTAGTTCTAATTGAAACTCTCCACCACTGCTATATACTTCCACCACCTTTGTACAAATAGGGAATAATTAGATATTATACAACATGACTAGGATGTACTTATATATGTATAATTCGATATATATACACAAAGTAGATTGAAATAGTAGTATATTTGAGAAAGAGATAATTTTATGTCATAAAATAGATCAAAATGATAAGATTCACATGTTTCGATCTAATATATATAAGATTTTACAGACAGTATTATATCCATGTAATCAATATTTACATACTT